AAGTCCAAGATCGAGGAGTTGGTAAGGTAACTTCTCTCTGAGGGCTCTCTCCTTGGCTTGGAGACAGCCACCTTCCCTCTATATCTTCACATGGTCTTTCCTCTGTATGTGTCTTTGTCTTAATCTCCTTTTAAGACACCATTTATGTCTTATGAGGACACCATTTTTATTGGAATAGTGTCCACCCTACTGAGCTCATTTTAACCTAATTACCTCTTTAAAGGCCCTGTCTTCAAGGACGGTCATATTCTGAGGCACGAGGGGTTAAGATTTCAACATATGAAGTTTGGGGAGACATAATTCAGCCTAGAACAGGTGAAAACTTCAAAATATTACATATAAAGAAGTTGATAATAGTGATTGGCACCATAGCAGGATGGGAAACCTGGGAGGTCAGAGGAGGAGTTACCTTTCATTGTATACTTTGTATCATTTGAATTTATTTAATACCTAATCCTATATCAGTGATGGCAAACCTTTTGAGCTTGGCGTGTCAGCATTTTGAAAAACCCTAACTTAATTCTGGTGCCGTGTCACATATAGAAAATTTTTTTATATTTGCAACCATAGTAAAACAAAGATTTATATTTTTGATATTTATTTTATATATTTAAATGCCATTTAACAAAGAAAAATCAACCAAAAAATGAGTTCACGTGTCACCTCTGACACACGTGTCATAGGTTTGCCATCACTGTCCTATATAATAAAAGCCTCGCCTGATGTCACAAGATGGCTGGTAGGGGAGGACAGTTGGGGGCCATCAGGCTGGCAGGGGAGGGCAATTGGGGGCGATCGGGCCAGCAGGGGAGCAGTTAAGCATCGATTAGGCCAGCAGGGGAGTGGTTAGGGGGCAATCAGCTGGCAGAAGCAGTTAGGGGGGAATCAGGCAGGCAGGCAGGCCTAAGTTGGGAGTCAGCAGTCCCGGATTGTGAGAGGGATGTCTGATAACCGGCAGTCAGACATCCCCCGAGGGGTCCCAGATTGGAGAGGGTGCAGGCTGGGCTGAGGGACACCCCCACCCCTCTGTGCACGAATTTTGTGCACCGGGCCTCTAGTCAAACATAAAAGGAAATGAATGCATGTCTATTGCCAATCCTTGAACTTAACGAATATCTAGTGAATAAAATGAGCAGAAACACGTTGTAACAGTTCACTGTGCCTTTGGGACATGGATCTGGTGTCCCTGCTTAGTACAGGAATGGTGTCTGCCTAGCTGTTCCTTGTGTAACTTATTTTGAAAAAACTAGTCTCTCCCCAGTTAATTGCAAATCCACCAGGCCCGGACAAGGATCGCCTCACCATTTTATCCTGGGACCTGGCACAGAGGTGGCACTCAGATACCTGCTGTGTGAATGAATGAATCCATTGATGATTCCCATGAGTGGAGAAGCTTTGGGAATGAGCTCTTTCTGATGTGGTCTTCCCATAGCAAGTGGCAGGGAGGGCAGTGCATGGGGGAGTGGGCTATGTTTTTAATAATTTAGTAAGCTAAATCATGACCAAAGTTTCAAAAAGAAACCGCTTACTCTAATCTGCCCTCTTTTTGTTGTTGTTTGTAAAGGAAAAGAGTCTGCCTTCTTTTGGGCTCTTTTTAAACAATCTAAAGTCTCTCAACACTATATGCTGTTCTGTATTTTGAAAAGAGAGGTAGTTATGAGGCAATGGCATGCACCCTAAGGCTTCTTTCGCAAATCCACCAACCCAAGTTCCCTTTTCTGTCTCTCGGTTTAACTCCAATGCCCACCTTCTTCCCTAACACTGCCTCTCACCTTTTGTTGATTTAGGTCTGGGGTTTTCAGGAAAGAACGTGGCCTCTCTGATTTTCCTCAGAGAGCGCTAGACCACCTTTTAGCTCCTTTCTGAGAGTCTGTAAGAGGGACAGAAAAGGTGGCTTGTTACTGTCCCCTCAGGGGCACGTTGGGAGCTCAACCAGATCCTGAAGATATTTCGGCACTTGGGAAAACCGGGTTATGTTGAAATCAGAGAGTTCAGATCATGTTGAGCATGAGCTGTTAAATGAATGGATTATGAGATTGGCCCCACTGACTCTCACACAAGCAGGCAGTTCTCCCAAGAAGCTGACGGAGCAGGTTTGGGCACGTGGGAGGGCAGGCCTGTCTTTCTGTGGCATTTGGTACGAAGCACACCAACAATTTGTGGTGCTCTCTCCACATAGCAGCTTCCTGCTGAGTCTGGAGGCCCCCTCCAGACCTACCTCCATTTGGCTTCATCCAAATTGGGAGGATCACTGAGGACCCACAGAAGCAGCATGTTTTTGCTGAAAGCTGCAACATGTTTCTGCTCTTAAGAGTAAGCGGCAATGTATCACATTCTTAGCATTCGAATTAATGAAAGGTGGCAAAAGGTGAATGCCATCTGCCCTTACCTGTAAAAGACAGGGGTTGAGGATAGACTTATGCACCATGGTTCTCATCACAGCAGCTTTCCTTGGCTAGATTAACCTGTTGGGATATTTGCACATTTCCCCAACAGGAATGACAGATCAGCAAAAGGGAATTCTCCATGAGTCCTTTTAAAACGGCATTTGTAAACACCAAAATTAAGATCAGAAGAAGGGGAGTTTAGAGCAAAAGAAAATTAAAAATGAATAACTGACATTCTTTTTTTAATATATTTTTATTGATTTCAGAGAGGAAGGGAGAGAGGGAGAGAGAGAGAGATAGAAACATCAATGATGAGAGAGAATCATTGATTGGCTGCCTCCTCACACCCCATACTTGGGGATGGAGCCTGCAACCTGGGCATGTGCCCTTGACTGGAATCGAACGTAGGACCCTTCATTCCGCAGACCAACACTCTATCCACTGAGCCAAACCAGTTAGGGCAGTGGTCGGCAAACTCATTAGTCAACAGAGCCAAATATCAACAGTACAACGATTGAAATTTCTTTTGAGAGCCAAATTTTTTAAACTTAAAGTTAGAAAATGTGTGGCAAGACTCTACAACTTGCTCGAGGGCAAGAACCCAGTGTTTATCATTTGCCATCATCTTCTAGTATCTAACAAACTGAGTCCTCTACACATTTTAATTCAACAGAATCCCTTTGTGTCCTATGTTCAGAGACAAGTCACCTGAGGCCCCAAGTGGAATCTCTGGGACAGTCTTTATTTTGGGGAAATGTTAGATGCTGTGATTGATGGCAATGAAACTTCAGGCACTAAAGTAAAGTTTAGAAAGAATCAAGAAACCTATCATAGTTGGCTTCCATGCTTATTTATAATCAGGGAAGAGTGGCCAGCTCCGGGAAGTCTATTGCATTGGCTACTGAGGGGAATTCAGAATCAAATTAGAAAAATCCTTGAAAAGAAATGGCAAATGCTAATGCTCATTTAGCATGGATCAATTGTACCACTCGCACAGGTCTTGTGGTATTTGGTACAAGTAAAATACAGGGTGGGGCAAAAATAGATTTTCAGTTGTGAGTACTCAAATATTCTTGTACTAATATGTATTATATATTTTTCTATATGAACAACTGTAAACCTACTTTTGCCCCATCCTGTATATCTCATCTGATAGAATTCTGGAAAAATGATGATCCATTTAAAAATAGCTTATCATTGTAGGCTTTAATCTCACAGAATTGGGCATGACTATTAAAAAGAACACGTGTCTGAAAAAGAGTCCAATGGGATTAAGTCTTTTTATTGTTTTATTTTAAATATATTTTTGTTGATTTTTAGAGAGAGGAAGGAAGAGGAATAGAGAGATAGAAACATCATTCAGCTGCCTCCTGTATGCCCTCTACTGGGGATCAAGCCTGCAACCTGGGCATGTGTCCTGACCGGGAATTGAACTGGTGACCTCTTGGTTCATGGGTTAATGCTCTACCACTGAGCAACACTGGCTGGGCTGATTAAGTTTTCTTAAAAAGAAAACAATCAGTAGTAAAAAATGTGGTAGGGAGCATGATCTAGGATTGCATGTATTACTGAAAGTAAGGAATATGGTGATTAAACTAAAAGGGTAGAAATATAAGCAAGTATTGGATCGATTCCCAATGGAAATACTGTTCAAATGGTGTGGAAGGTCGATTGGACTCAGTTCTGGGGTTTCAGTTTTGTGGATAGGTTTCTCACATTTTTGAATGATAGTCACCTAGCAAATCTTTTTTATTTATCCTGGTCACCATTTACTGTAGAATAAGGAAGACTATGTGGATTCTAACATCAAGAATTGACCAGCCAGCTTCATGCCTAAAGCTATCAAACCTGGTTCTTAGAATCCACGTTTGCAAGTCTGGCTCTTTGTTTAGAAAAAGAAAAAAAATCAATAGGGAGACACTTCCCCATCCCCAGTGAAGACTAATGGGCATCAGTCTACTACTTAGTATCTTGTTGAGAAATTTGTGAACAACTGAAAGAGTTTATCTGACCAGCTGTGAATTTAGCACCCAGGGTTTGATTCTTAAAGTGAGGGGAATAACTTGGAAATTGTGAGTTTCCCTTTACTCTGTCACCGCACAAAATCAACCATCGCAACCACATCTGAGTAAGAGGGAGAGGCCTCTGCTCAACAAAGTTAACATCTTTCTATTTCTTCCTTTCCCTTCCCATAAACACAGGTTTGGCCTACTTTATCCCAGCATAAAGCAGATGCACTGCAAATGTTAGCTAAGTCTGGTCCTTCTAATAACCGTGGTGAAAAGTCCAGGGGAAGAATGTGTTGTTTTCACTAATACTGCTCTTCCAATCTCAGACGATAAAGTGTCAGCTAATGACCCCCTGGGTCCCCGGCTTTCCCTGGGGCCTGCTTAAATACACAAAACCCAAGTGAAGGCAGGACACCATTAGCACTACATAATTCAAGCAAACAAATGTGTTTACACTGCCTGGCTACTGACCACCTGCCTTCCTATCCCACAAGGCAGGTATCTATATATGGGATCTGATCTCCTTGTTCACAGTCCTGGGGAGGGAGCCTCTCCTTTGGGCCTCGCCATCTGTGAGTCTGAAAGAAGCTTGGTCCCTGACATCATGCATCTCCTCTTACTTCAGCTGCTGGTGCTCCCGCCACTGGGGAAGGCTGCGTGGCCCCAGGATGGCGGCCAGAGTCAGAGTTCTGTTCCCCCTGTGCTCCTACTAGAGAGGAGTCCCAGAGAGCTTCCCATGGGCAACCACGGGGAGGCTGAGGAGAAGCCAGATCTGTTCGTAGCCTTGCCACACCTGGTAGGTGCCAGCATTTCGGGGGGAGGCCGGTGGCAGAGAGAGAAGATGCTATTCAGGTTTGGCAGGTTCTGGAAGAAGCCTGAGAGAGAACTGCATCCAACCCAGGACCCTATCAGTGAGCAAGGCCCACCTGGGACCCAGGCCCTTCCTCAGTCCCAGGCTGGGATGCAGATAAAGAAGTCTCCTCTTCAGGAAGAAGCCAAGAGATTCTGGCACCGCTTCATGTTCAGAATGAGTCCGGCTTCTCAGGGGGTCATCCTCCCCATCAAGAGCCACGAAGTGCACCAGGAGACCTGCAGGACCCTGCCTTTCAGCCAGGTATCTGTTCTGGGTGGAGAGGGGATCAGGGTGTGCAGGAAGCGGGTGGACAGTTGGGGCAGATCGGGAGGAGGTGAAGAGGAGTTAGTCTTACCTAACTCCCAGACTTGGTCCTTGGCCATACATACATCCTAGGATTTGGCAAAGTATGGTCATATTTCCTAAATTTCCTTTGAAACTTTACATTGTTTCTTGGTATTCTGCAGACGCTGCAGGAATGGTTCAATTGTCCTGCCAATATTAGGAATCATTCATATTGATGGCATACAGTGTTGTTTTATGTGGCTTTATTTCTTTATTTTTACAAGGGGGATGGTCTTCCCAGAGAGATAAGACTGCACCCTCAGGAAACTGGGGATTTAGAGCTATCACCAGAGTTCTCTCTAGTTATATCTCTACATTCTATTAGAATGTGGGTTATCAGGTCAGCTCCATCTGTGGGTAAGGTGGAATACATTGGTCTCGTCCCCAACCACTCTCATGCCCATTTGATAGTCTTAATCCCTGTATTTCACATGTAACTACTTCATAGGTCTATAAGATATGTTGAGGTTGTCAGGCATAAGTTACCATATCATTTCTAGTATTACCATAGCAAAAATGATTTAACTTCACTTATTTTCTCATAACCTTTTAAAAAATAATCTCAATGTGAAATCACATTTTCTCCCCTTAGTAACACCCATCTCCTCATTGATGTTGTGTCGGTTGATTTGTAGTTATCATGATTGATTGATTCCATACTATTAAGACAAAGGGGCATTCTACTCTCTACTTCCTCCAGTCAGTCCTGACAACCTCCATATTCCAAATGTTAAATTTAAATTGAGAAATTGCATCAGGTCCTTTATGTTTATGAAGATACTGAACCAAAAGCAATGCAGGGTAAAGTTTTACATCCCAATAATGCTGCCCAATTAAGCAGGCAGTACTATAAGGTAATTGGGTGTGCAAGGCAGTTAAGTATTCTGCCTAAAAAGGTAAGGGTATGTAGCAATAGCAAGTAAACCCTCAAATAATACTGACTGCTTTGTTGGTCATGTGCAATTAGAAAACTGCTCCTAAGAATTGTGTAATCAAATTTCCTTTGAAACTCTTATTTTAAATTCTATTGCTGATTAAATTCAAATTAAGGTGTTTCACTCTTGCATATTTTGAAGGCCACATAAAGCTAGGGGTCTGGGGTTACGGGAGAGGCAAAGGTGATGTCATGCATGATGATTTGCAAGCATATGTGTTGCAACTTCAAGGACTTGAATGTACTATAGGCGCTGCAGAATGGGATAGAATTAGACTCATGATATTCTGATCTAGTCTATGAGCAATTGAACAACATGTATTGAGAATCTATTATGAACAATGCTCAGTGAGGAATAGAAAGGCAAGGCACATTCCTCACTTAAGAAGCCAACTGCTAGAATATTTTTTACTGGTAACATCCAATTAGACAGAATTTCTTAAAGTTTGGCTTTTAAAAAATAGAGTAACATATTTTCATATCAACTTAGGGATTTCTTACAGGCTAATTTATTATATTACTCAGTAGAATAAATATTTAGTTGAGGTGGCTTTTTGCCCTTATAGATATGATTACTTGGATTTTGGCAAACATCCAAAATTAGAAAGATTTTAAAATTTTAGTCTAGCTTATCCTCAGACCTGCAGTCTATAGCACCTGCATCCTGTGTGTTAATGAAATGACACACGATGATTTAATAGAGATGTGTTTGCCTTTTAGACGGTCACCCATGAAGACTGTGAGGAAGTGGTTGTACAGAACAACCTTTGTTTTGGGAAATGCGGGTCTGCTCGTTTTCCTGGAGCGGCACGGCACCCCCATACCTTCTGCTTCCACTGCTCGCCCGCCAGGTTCACCACAATGCACTTGCCGCTGAACTGCTCAGGCCTCGCCCCCGTGGTCAAGGTGGTGATGCTGGTGGAGGAGTGCCAATGCAAGGTGAAGGAGGAGCACCGCGAGCATGGACACCTCCTCCAGGCAGGCTCCCAGGCAGAATTCCATGCCCAGGAGCCCTTTATCCCAGGGGTTTCAACTTAGAAAGCTATCCCACTATTACCTGGAACAGCAAAATCACAATAGCCAAGTTGCTGATTATTCAGTCTGGAAATATTCAGTGGGTACATAATCTTTCAACTGAAAGGTGGTTTAAAAAGTAGTAAGATAGAACAACTTGGAGGAAATGGTGTTCATCTGGTTATCCGTATGCAAATGGTATCTAGTTTTGACTCTGCTACTTTCTAGCCATGGAATATTAAGTTGTGGAACCTTTCTCCACCTGGAGCTGTTCATCTATAAATGAGGGACTTGAACTAGATGATTCTAAAGTCTTTTTCACTACTAATATTTCAATAATGATCTACTGTCTCCAAGTTTTGGTAAAATCCCTCCCTCTGAAGGAGGAAAAGAAATAAAGCAGATCATAAAACTAGGCTTCTTTAATAGCTTGTGAAAGCATCAGCAAATGTATATATACCTAACATTCACAGGAGGATTCCTCATATTTATAGCTGCCTTTGCATTTCAGGCAGTAGTTTATTTGACTTCTATCGGATGATTAAGTCGTTCCACAGATGGAAGGTGTAACTTGTTTGGTTGCCTGCTTATTTTTTATACTCCCCATATAAAGTTCTCTGGTCTTGAAGAGGAACATTGATGTTACTTTTAGTGCTTTCCACGGAGATGAGGAACAATTATGGGTAGCCAAACAAGTACCTATTTTATGGGGAAGGAAAAATAGGTAAATCCAGAATTAAAGGTCAATCCAGAGATGCTAATGTATGTAACCAAGAAATTCCAGTAGATGTCAAATTAAATAAATGGCAAATGATTTAGAATGGAAACAAATCTATAGGTGAAATCCTTTATCCACATGCATTTTGGATTAAATAGTAAGGGTTCAGTGTTTGGATGACTGTTTTTTGCTACTGTATAGAACTTTGATTACAAATCTTATTCTCCAAATGCCACAATTACAAGTTCTGAAAATATTCAGAATATTTTAGTGTATTAAATGTTAGTGTATGAAGCATTCTGGGAAATGTCATGACATTCGATTGCCTTATATTATGTCCTATTTGTTTTGTCTGTTCCTAATTTGAAGGCACTATCTGGAGATTATCTAGCTAGAAACAATTTGGAAATGGCTTTCAAGGCTAATGACAATGGCTTTTTCTGACACTTCAAACAGCTTTCGGTGAAGGTCCTTCAACCACTGTCTTCTGCGGTTATGTTTGTTCTTCTGCATTTGTTACTTTATATGTACGTAGTATGCAGAACTGGCTTTCTCTAGCCATCTTTCCTCTTCTATAATCATTCTTTAACAATTTACCTTAGACATTATTTTAATTATTTGGATCCCTTTGTTTTCAGTATGCACATAAAAAAGTGTTTCCCAGAATAATTATTATTTTCTTTTTTTTAAAAGAAATCAATGCATATTTTAATTCTATTCCTCTTTGCTCACACTGTCCTGGTGTTCTGAAGAAGTGAATGCATTTATATTTAGTGTATATTCTACAACACATCAATATAATAAAATATGTGCTACACAGATACACATGTGGCATTTACATCGGAATATATTATACCCTTCGGTAGCCAAAGACAACCCAATTGACCAAGATATGGTCATATGAATAGAACTGTTAAGCATTAATGATATCCCAGCTGGTCAATATATTTTGGTGCCAAAAGCTATTGAGCAGCTGTCTGGTTTGCAGTTGCCTAACCCTGATTGTGTAAACCTATCTCAGCCAATTGGACTATCCTTCTCCTCCTCACACATTTGCAAATTCCTTTTATCTATCCTTGCAAATCGACTCTCTAGCCCAAGCCCCAAACAGTCATCAGCTTTATTTAAACTCTAGTCTGTCTTTCCCTTACATGTGAATTCAAGATGAGATAGCTGATAGTGGTATCAGAGCTTACATTCATAGAGTAACAGCATGAAACTCATGAAATTGCCCATATCCAATCATTTCACTTACAAAAAAAGGCAATTTCCAATGGTTCCACATAATATATGGGAACATAGGAAAACAAGAGGAAACACACAAATATCGAACATCTAATTAAGTGCTAGATACCGTGCTGGGTCATAAACATACAAATTATACATTCCTCACAAAATCTATCTGATAGGTGAGAAAAATAAGTCTTAAAATTTTTAAGCAACTTGGAGTATATTTTCTACTTGTATTAAAATATTTTCTCATTCATTGTCCATCAATTTACATTTAACTCTTCTAGGTCTCATGACTATAGGTCTCAAAGCTAATTTCTTTTTACCTCTTTCCTAGCTCTCATGATTGAAGGACATTGATATTACCTCTTGAAAGGGAAATCATGCTTAGGTCTGGTCCTCGGACAAGCATTGTCCTGACTTGAGAGTTGGTCATGGCAACCCCATCAATTTTTGTCTCATTTTCCTCCTGATTAAAATAAGGCTGATAATGATTTCTTCAAAATTATTGTGATGACCAAGTGTAACTCATAGCACATTAGAGAGCTTTACATCCTGTATAACTACAAGGGATTAATTCATTCTTCTGCATCCAAACATTTAAATCGATTTTTGTTTTGAGAATTAAAAAAAATACAAGGTATTTATTTATTTTTAATTGTGTGTGGGTTTTTTTAAGAGAAAGAGGGAAACATCAATTTGTTATTCCACTTATTTATGCATTCATTGGCTGATTCTTGTATGTGCCCTGACCAGGGATGGGACCCACAACCTTGGCATATCAGGATGATGCTCTAACCAACTGAGCTACCCGCCAGGACTTGTTTTGACAAATTTAAAAGACAGAAAAATGCAAAGAATAACATAACACTTAAATTTTCACTACCAGAATATTTAATATTTTTTCATCTTGTGTTTCTTGTCTATTTTTAAAAGAAATAAACGATTTCACATATAAGTAAAGTCCCCTCTAATCACCATGCTGAGTCCCATCCCCCAAACCCTGACCTTTCAACCCCCAACCCAAATATTCCTGTTTGCAATTCTAATATCCTTTTATATTTCTGCAAAGGTGAATACACCTCCATAAATAATACAGTATGATTTTTGTATATATGTTCTTCCTTCAGCAGGTATTTATTTGTTCACCAGCTATGTGCAAGATGCAGCTATGAATATAGCAAGGAACCGGCTCTGAGTGGGGGGAGACAAGTAATTTGAAAATCAATCAATTCAGAGATCAATCAACTGAAAAGGCCAAATATCGGATAGCTATAAGTGCAATGAGTTTTTATTACATACATGATATTCTATATGAATTGTTCTACAATTATTTTTCCACACAGGATTCAGGCTTGTATTTATAAGTTTTTAGTTTTTTTTAGATATATTTTTATCTCTAGTCTAGAAACTTGGCATTAAGTATTTCCTATAGAGAGTGATTAAAATAGCTTTGATTTATTTTTTTTATATTCATAGTCTCTTTAATCTATCAATTTAATTCCTAATTAAGAATGTCCTGTATCATCTAAATGTTTAGATTATTTATTCTATACAATACACTGTGCTGAGAACTCTGGGATAATCAAAGGTAAAGGGACTTACATTATAGTAGCAGAGGTAATATATGGAAATTATAAATCAATAATGATAGTAATAATAGTAACAGCTACGAATTTCCAAGTCTTTACTCCAAGTTCAAGTGCTTTATATTCCTCATCTCATAGAAATAGACATTTTATACCCATTTTTTTTTTGACAAGGGGAGTAAGAGTCAGCGAGCCTCATTTATTTAGTTCCAAAATATTTATAATTGTGTTGAGCCTGGTTGCTGTGCTGGATACAAAGAATATAAATAAATAAATATATGATTATCTGAATATAATTTCTGATTTTAAGAAGTTTACAGTACAAGAACAAGTAACAATGCATTTGTGTCTATAAAGCTAGAGCCATGGTCGGCAAACTGTGGGCTCGCAAGCCACATGTGGCTCTTTGTCCCCTTCAGTGTGGCCACGAAGTTTCAATCTCACTGGACGTGCATGTGGTATTTTGTGGAAGAGCCACACTCCAGGGGCCACAGTTTGCCGACCACTGAGCTAGAGTGATGTTTCCCCCTACCACACCCCAACACCAACTCAAGCGCCACTTGCCCAGTGAAGCCTCCTTAATCCCAGACAAGGTCAGATTCACTTATTCTACGATTTCATGATGCTATATACCTTCACTTCACAGCACTCATCCCAGTTTATAATTATACCTTTAGATGCATCATTATTAGTCAAATTGTAACCTCCATAAAAGCAGGAATTACATGGGGTTTCTTTTACCATTGTAATCAATGTGATGTAATCCACATTATAGGTACTCAAGAAATATTTTTGTCTGTATAAAAGAAACAATATCAACAGATATCATATGTTGAAGGTATACATGTTTTAGGTACTGTGCCAAGAACTTTATATACATCATTTCATTTAACCTTCATGAAATCCTATGAGGTAGGGATTACCATATTATTTTATAGAGGAAGATGAAGATCATATAAATGAAATTACCTACCTAAATACTACTGCTGCATAGTAGCAGAAGTTGAATGACTTCAAGGTCTTATATCTTTCTTACTATGCTGCAGTGCCTCAAGATAGCAAAAATAAAAAAAATATATAAAAATAAATATCTATATATATAAAAGCCAAGTGACTGGAACTGCGGAATGACCAGAACGACCTGAGCGACAGGTTGCTATGACGTGCACTGCAATGGCCAACAAGCCTGATGGGGGCCCCGATCGGCCCCCCCAACCTCCTGCAGCAGGTGGCCCTGCCCCTGCTCGGCCCCCCTTTTTCCTTGGGAGGGCTTGTGCCCAATTGTGCCTCCCCTCCCGATGGGGGGCAGAGGTTACATCCGATTTTCCCGTGTCCCCCCCCCCCCCCCCCTCACGCCAACCTGGCTCCAGTCAGCCCCAATCGAGGTGAGATGGCCGGACCCACCCATGCATGAATTCGTGCACCAGGCCTCTAGTATTTATATATATACATACATACATACATATACATGCATGTATGTACACACA